TGAAAATACGTTGTGCGCCTATCTCAACAAGTGGTTGCATGAGTATGTCTCGTGAATATCAACACGCAGTTAGGGAGAGCAACGAAAAATGTGTGCTCTTAAATTCCTGTAGAAACGTGGGCCCAAAATTGAGCACTCCTCTCCGTCTAAAGTCATTCATTGCCGGGACATGTTCAGAATTATCATTGGATTCTAAAACGATATGATGGACAGAGCATCCCTAGGCAAATGCCTCAACTGCCAAGAGCAAGATCGGCGCCGATCTATCTGCATAGAGAAGAAAACTTGTCATAGTATGTAATCCTACTGCACAAGGAAAACAACAATTAAACTAAGCCAGTCCATTGACTTTCGGAGTCGCTTTCAAAACTCTCCTACACAGGTAGGAAATGCGTTAAAAAAACCGTTAACGATGGTTTTTGGGGGCAAATAATATTTATGTGATTGTCTAAATCACATTTAGGTATCTCATAATGGCAGCTTTTTGAAATAGTAAACAAAGTCGCACGTTTTTCGAAACGCCTCCGCCTAGTCGTTTTTTTTGTCTAGCAAGACTTTCCAGTGCGCATGCTATTCTTCTGTATTTTTTTGTACTCCCTGTCTAATGACGTCTGATTCCTGCGAGTACGACTTTATTGTAGATCTTTTTACACAGACCCTCGAAGAGGAAAGATCTTTGCGAATTCGGTAATTCACACTTTTACACTTTTTTCGTATGTCAAGATAAATTCTACTGACGTTTGCGGCCACTTAGGGTTTTTGTCTAGCACTATATAGTATTAGTTAAAAATATTTATATTATTTATAAGCTTGCTCATGTAAATTGCAGAAAAAAATATTGCAACGAAAATTAGTACGCAAATAGAGGGTTTGCAAGTACACAAACCCCTTACGTACGCCTGAATCTTTCCCATACTATTTTGTCTTTAAGGGACTTTACTCGTAAGCTTACGTGCTCGTCTTTACATACCTTGACTTTGTTCTCCCCGATATCCGCGAACTGGCCAAGACCAGTGTTTTATAATTTCCGTGAGTGAAGGTGAAACTTCGAGTTCCAGGTGTATGCATAATTGAAGAAGGGAGTTTGCGCACTGGAACATTTTGTTTATTGTCCTGAGCTCTCTGACTAGTGCCGGAGTCCATCGTCAGAGATAGTAGCAGCAAGAGAACAAGCAACAGTTATAGGGCATGTATGCCAATCATCGACCGACGACGAAAGACTGGGGCTGACTGCGCGGGGCTCTATACGCCGGCGGCAGATCGATAATTCGATTTACTGAGTTCTCATCCAAGGCCCAGGCTTCAATCAATTCTCGGCCTGTTTTGTTTCCGGTGTGGGTGACCATTTTGGTGGCTGCGAGGTTAAACTCGTGACCCATTTCGGAGGTGTGGAAGGCCACTTGTTGTGATGCACTGTCTCGTCGCACAGCCAGCTTATGTTCGTGTATGCGCGGTCCGAGCATGCGTCCAGTCGGGTCTGTGTAGTTAAAAGGACAGTTGACGCGGGATGCGATACACCACTCCAGATTGCTCTTCAGGTTTTAACCGGTCTTTAATTTTCATCACCCTATTGCGCATGGTGGCTTTGGGGCGGTGTACACTTCCAACACCTAATTCCGCGGCAGTGCGCACGGTCGCATCTGAAACGCCCTTGATGTATGGCCGAGAATGACATATCGTTCAGAACAATAAGCAAAATGTTTCGGTGATCGAAACCTCTTCGTCCTCACTTATCAATAATTTCCATGTAGTTACGCGTAGCCATGTATGAGTGAAAACGCCCTGGGTGTTTATGCTTTTCTTGATCTGGGCTTGATAATCTTATTGCTACTTCCACTCGAAGCGTTGGATGCAAGCCCATGAGACCCAGGCTGCGTGGCGAAAACCTCTGTGATAGTTTAGCAGAGTTGATTGCGCGTTTGGGCGTCAGGCGGAACAAAATTTCTCAACAAGTAAATACGAGCACAAAATCTACATGACTGCTCAGGAAACTGGACATTTTGAACCTGTGTATGTGATTTTCCTGTCTTAGAAGACCGTTTACTCAATTACTGCGCCTCCAGTTAGATCGTTGCTGCTAAAATTTCATAAATCCATCCGCCGACGTATTAGTTCTAAAATATTTTAGAGATCCACAGAGAACCGTAACGCATTTGCAGTTGTTGAGGCTCTGTTGAGGGTTCGCGCTGCACTAGGCATGGTGGTGAATTATGGAATCCACGTCGACCAAGACTGTTGAGTCGGTGCTGGTCAAGGAGGTGGCGAAACTGCTCACACACGACATTCCTTACGGCTTTTTTATTGCGCTAGTGAGGCTTTCTTTATGGTAGTTTGCAGTCAATGGTCTAAAGTATCCTAGCAAATATTTTGCCAGGGCGTGCTTTTGACTGATTGCGTAGTCAGTTTTTCTATGGCTACTGTTAAATACAACTCACAGTGTGGTCGCCAATAAAACAGAGATTTCCGGAAGATTTGAATACATAACTCAGCTTTAGAGTCTTATTTGGTTCCATAGCTGCTGGTCTGGTGTCAATTTTTGTCCCGCAATATCAGTTTTATTTCTTTAAATAGCTGCTCTGAGGTAACGGTGAATGCAGACGCTTATTTTTTCAAAGAAGACCGGTTTACTTGCATAGATTGTAAGGAGGGCGGCTTCCTCGCGTTTTGTGTCTCTGCCATGGGTTTTCCGTAGTGCGGTTATGAACCGCCGGACTTTTTCATGTTTGTTCGCACAAATAAAATGTTACTTTTGCTTAGCCGTCACAAAGTTTACGTGCAGGCTCTCGTTTTCGATCCGACTGTGGCATACCAGAGGTCGGACCCCGTTTCGTTCCCTTATGTCCGAGAAAATCGCCAACAGATTCTGCCTGCGGTACAATGTCAGAGCCTTTACTATTTGCGAAATGCCACTGAGGTTTCCAGGCCCCTTTAACGGCCACGCAGAAATCAGCAGTAATAGCATTCCTACTTTCCACAGTTCATATGCTTTTCTTTTCGGGACTTTTGTCTAAAACTAATTTTGACCGTTGCAGCCGTGAAGCACTATGATTTCAAGCGGCGAATCTACTGCGCTACAAACTGCTACTCTCGCGACTGGTGAGAACGCTAGGTCTAAACAGGATGTAGTCTACTCCATATTAGAACGAGTGGGAAAATTTTCACCCTCATTTGGATGTTTTCATTACGGATATGGGATAATCCTAAATTGACCGTTTTCCGGGAAAAAGGCAATTAAATTATCGTTTTCTATCGGGCCCACGCTTTGGTCTGCGCGCTCGTATACCGTGCGAATGGTCTTACATATAGGAAGAATGTGCAATTTCGAAAATCTTGCTGTCTCTGGATTTTCGTTCAGTGTCGAACGGGCCCTAGCTCACTTAGTTACCTCTAGCTTTCCTGTGCGACGAATTCGCTTTGCGAACAGGATTTCAGGCAAGAACTGCCAGCAAATTTATTCCATGTATTTCTGCGCTTGAAGGCGGCGTCAGCCTGCGAGTATCACGAGTCTAAGATGACCGTACTATGCGTTCTAAAATTATTTTGGTTGGGGTAGGGGGATTTTAGCCCATTTTGGGCAGCAACCACGTCTACCATGCAGCTTCCCGCATACATAACCCCTCAGAGGCTGGTACTTTTTCTACTGCACACAAAAACCCTTGTCGGAAACAATTCTGCCTTCCGAAAATTCTATTATGCTCTATAAACATAGGTTTGACCGTCTTTCATTTTGCAATTTGTTTCACAACCTTAATAAAGGCCTTGCTCTAGTATACCTATCGTCTTTGTGGTAATTACGCGGGCAACTGCTAAACAACTCACTATCAGAGAATACTAAATTCTGACCTCTTTCTTCAGGCCAGAAATGCTGCCGCCTCACCGTTGAATCAGTGCTCCATAATAATACCTTCACGTTTGCGTAGCGTGCAGTGCAAGAGAACTTGTTGGTGCTTATTTAGTCATAACACTGAAATTTTTGTCTTTTGAGTATAAATTCACCAAAGATATAACCGCCATCTTTCAGGAAGTCCGAACGTAAGGCTTAGCTTATTCCATATTTCCTGTGTTTCTCTTTTGCACAGAGCTGAGAGAAATGCGGATGCCCTTCAAGAGGAGTTGGATAGCTGCAGTCGTTGTCTCGCACAGATAAAGTACGGCCTAGTTTACCGCATCGAGGTGGCAGAATCCCAGGCCTATGACTTCCTTATGTCAAAGTCCCTTAATATTTCCCAAGCCAGTTCAGCGGCCAAGCAGCTTCGCATGGATTTCAATAATCTTCTACAGAAGCACCGAACTGAAAATGTGAAACTTGAGAAGGAGGTGGTATCCAATTTATAACTTGGCTTGAACATGTTTTAGTCTATTTACAAGTTAACTGGCAATGCTTTCTTTATATTTTGCACTTAAGGATGCTTAGTGAATGTAACAAACCGAAAAGCGTTCTTCCCAGGGCGAACCAAGCCGCCCAATTATCAAATTTCGACTGATTGTTTTTCCCACAAAGCAAACAGTGAGTCGTCGCTGGCTTTGAGAAACTCGACGCTCCCTTCCTTTTGACTTGCAAGGCAACTCTAATATAGTATGGGCTGCTTTCTCCTGTTGCCTTACCGAGTATGAATTTTCACACGCAAATGATGGACTGTAATCAACTTAGATTCAACTCATTATA